TTTCCCCAAAACAATTTACAGGTTACATTTATCAAAATTTTAAAAATATCTATCTACTTTTACAAAAATTATTTAATTTAGGGGGTTGTTTCATTTCCTAGAAAATTTTTTTAACCCTAAATACAAAAAACAGTTTGCCGCCCAAACTGAAAACCCGGAAATTCCCCTCTTTTAATTTTTTATTTTTTATGTACTGCATAGCCCCAATTAAATTTTTATTCATGAAGGAAAAAAAACAATTTGTGACTATTTTTCATATTGAAAACCATGAAATATAGGGCCCCCGGGTTTTTACCTTTTTAACAGGGGGTTTAGGGTTTTGTTTTTTGTTTAAGGAAAAAATTTCCCGAAAAAACATTTTTCAATCAAACCAAAAGTTTTTATTTTTCTTTATTTTTTTTTTTCTCTTTTTTTTTATGATTTTAGCTTGGGGCATTAAAAACACACAAAAAGTAACCCTTTTAAAACAGTGCACCGAATTCTAACTAAAAATTTCAAAATCATAGGTTTAAAACTCAAAATTTATTTAACACACAAAATCGTATTTTTCAAAACCTAGGGGTCATAGGGGTTTTATAAACTCAAGTATCATAGGTTTATAAAGTCACCAAGTCATAGCTTCAAAACCCCAAAAGCAAGCTTCCCAAAACCACAATCAAGCTCAAAAACTCAATTTTCCCGGGGTTTAAAAAAGTCCAAAATGTCATAGGTTTATAAACTCAAAATGTCAATTTTATAAAAAATCACATGTGTGGTAAAAAAAACACCCCCTTTAAAATTTTTATAACAAAACCAACAAAAACACTACAAAAATTGTTTTTTAACGAAAATTTTAAGTTTTCAAAACTTTTATATTTTTTTCTATAAACCCACTAAGATTTTCTATTTCCCCCCTTTTTTTACCAACTTTATAAACTTACCATCATTTTTCCCTTTTTTAAAAAAACAAATAAAAAACTAAAAAAAATGAAAAAAATCTGAACAAAAACATGTCTTCAATCAAACAATACATTTAAAATAATTGCTAAAAAAAATTTTTTTCCCTTTTTGTCATGATTTTTTGGTCAATTTTTTTGCATTTCCCCAAAATTTTTTTTTAATTTTTTACTACCCTAAAAAATTTTTCTATTAAATAGAAATCATATCGTTGCAGATTTTCTATTTCTAGTTTTTTTTAAAAGTTCTTTTAATTAAAAAATAGCTGTTATATAAAAAAAGTTTTGAGTTTTAAAAGGGGCCCACTTTAGGTTTTTTTGACAAACGGGGCTGGAAAAATTTTTTTGAAAAATTAATTTTAACAGGAAATTTTGTGTAAAACCCAAGAACATGTGCAAAAATTTTAGACATTTTGCTCATATCCTTTTTTTTCCCGAAAATTTTTCCAATTCAAAATGACCCACAAATTTGAAAAGCATTCCCAACCCTAAAAGCCTGACTAATTTAAAGCACAAAACTACCCAATTTTCTATTTATTTCTTGAGATAATTTCTTCAATTATCTTTTTAAAATTACCCTTTCTGTTTAATGCTAACTAAGCTGATTTATGTAAGAAATTCAAATTTTATGTTTTAGGCTTTTTAGACCTAAGTCAAGTCCCTTTTAAATGGGATTTCTTATACAGTTTTTTTAAATTTATAAACAAAAGGAAACTCTATTTGCAAACAATACGGGAAAAATAAATGTACCACATCGTAAAAAAAATAAAAATAAATTATATGTCTACATTTGTTGGGAAAGACCCAACTCAAGTCGTTAATGTCCTTTCTATTACAACATTTAATACATTTTCTTTACATATAAACATTCAGTGGAAACAATTTTCCTTATCCCTAAAGCTAAAGGTCACAGTTATAGATTATTTCATTTTTCAAAGCTCTAGGCTATGGGGCAAAAAGTCATAAGCCACAGTTAAAATAAAGATCGGTCAATTTAAACATTACAGTAAACATGAAACATTTTCACAGAATTTAAAAAAATAATAGCAATTTTTTCGGTGAATTGTAGTGAAAAAAATTCAAATTTTAAACAACAGACGGGAATAGGAAAAAAACTTTCAAATATAACCTCTGCAAAGCAACTACCTTTGTGATGTGGGCAAATATTTTGGATGTTGATGAGACTGGGTTGTTCTGGAGAGGTTAAATTCAGTGTTTAATCTTAGTTTGAAATTAACAAAAAAAACACACAAACATTCAGTATTTATTTATTGTTGACCCATAACGGAGCATGCATTCTTTTTTAATCTCAGTCTGGGAAGATCTTATTTGGCTGTTGTAAAGAGGTTCTTGATCTAAAGAGGGTCAGTAGCTCTGCACATGTTACACTAAATTAACATTTTAAAACTATTTCAACATTTTGTCCAAGGTGGATGATGCAACAGATAAAAAAAATTATTGTCCTCAAAATGATGTTCATAAATTACGGGGACGTCACACAAATACAGTAGAGGTGTTATGGCGGGGATGTTTTCAGCTTTTCTGGGGAAGGGAAAAATCCCCCTTTGTGCATTATTTTAGGCAAAGTTTTTATAATTTTGAACCCCCAAAAATTTTCAAAAAGCAAACTTGGGTACTTTTCCTTTAAATTTTTAAAACCAAAGTCCTGACGATTTAACCCACAAGCCCGAGGCGAGGGGTTTTAAGTCTAGACCTTTAAACCCCTTTGCAAGGGCACCTTTTTTTTGAAGTAAATAATTTTCCCAATACAGGGAAAATTAGACTTTTAATTATGGGGACAGAAAAATAAAAGAAGACAATATAAATTTAACTCAAATTTTTGATACGTTACAAAATAATAACAGGGGTACACAAGAAAAACCCAAATTGGACAAAATTTAAGAAACAAAATTTTTCAACCATAAACCTTTTTAAATTTTAAAAAAGTTATAAAATTTTTCCTGACCCCAGGGAAGAAAGCATTTTATGTAAAAAAAATATCTTTTTTAACTCCAATTAAAAAACAATAACAATCAAATTAAATAAATGACTTCTTAAAAAACCGTTCTGGATTATTTAAAAAACACAAACATGTCTAACCCAAACCCCCTAATAGAACGAATTTTTTATACTCCCAAAAATTTTTAAACTACCTTTCAAAATTTTTGCACCCTGACTTAAACAGTGTCTCAAACACCCCACCTTAATTTTTTTTGCACTCTGATTTTTGTTTTTAAAAATGGGAATCAAAGCAGGCAACACATTTTTTTTCACATTTTTCAAAAAAAAATACTAATTTAAAACCCGCCCGAATTTGTGTAAAATTTGCCCGCTTTTTAATTTGGGATCCAAAATTTTCCCCTCCTGGACCCCCTCCCATAAATTTAAAAATGTTTTTTCAAAAACCGGGACATTTCCCATCATTTTTTTATTTTCGCGGGGCGGCAATGAAAAGACGTAATCACCTTTGTGAAATAATATTGCAAAAGTTCTATCTTTAAAATTTTTGTTAAGAGTAAAAACTTTTATCCTTAAAAGAATGGGTTTCAGATTTTTTTTATACACAGCGGGGTATAATGTCACATTCCCCCTCCATAAAAAAATGGAAGGGGAATTTCTCCTGTAAAAAAAAAGGGAAGGGAATGTCCGGTCTGCCAAAAAATTTAGGGTGGGAAATTTTCCCCCTTTTTAAAACGGGGGGGGGAAATGTCCCGGGTTGAAAAATAAATGAAAGGGGAAAAAGTCAGGGTGCCAAATTTTCTGGGGCTTTGAATTCCTAAAATCCATTTTAAGTTTTAAGGGTTTTATGCTAACAATCTGAACCTACCTTTCCATCATCTAGCCACCCAAATATTTTTGATTTTAGCTCCACCTTTTCTTTTGGGGGACTAGAAAAAAAAAAAAAGAAATAAAAAATACTATTTGATTGTAACATCCAAAATTAACCATTTTCTAAACTCTTCCTAGGATGACCTATAAGATAAACAAAAACAAAATGAATGTAACAGCCAGCATTTTAATAAATAAAAACCCAGATTTAACGATATGCATGATTTGAAATGCCAAGAATATTTTCCAGGAAAATACGTAAACAAAGTGGCAAAAACTATGCTAGAAATGTGGAGAAAAAAAAGTTTTACTCATAAAATTAAAATTTTGAGACATGTAAAACTACCAAGAGAAGTGGAGACTTAAATATCCTGTAACACATTATTTTTATGGTTTTATATACAAATTATGATGCTCAAATTAAGATTTATCGATATTGTAAGTTTCAAAAAACATTATTTATAAAGATATTACCGAATTTAATATTTCATGCTGTCATGAATCCAACTTGATACATTCTATTAAAATTTCTCACAGTCTGTCAATATTCTGTTTTTATGAGAGGTAGAGATCTTTCTTCTGTCAGTGGTTTTATCATGATCTCAGAGTTGGAAATAAGCCCCTGCCACCTCAGTTACTTTTGATATTTACTATATCATTCTCTCTAAGGCATGTACTTTAAATAATGACCTGGTTATTTCAAACAAAATGAAATCCCTGTTTTTAAATGAGAGATAGAGTTCCTTCTTTACAAGTAAAAGACCAGGAAGAGTTCTGCTGTACAAGGTTCCTTCTTTACAAAATGAGTTCCTTCTTTACAAGGAATAGAGTTCCTTCTTTACAAGTAAAAGACAATGAATAGAGTTACCTTCTTTACAAGGAATAGAGTTCCTTCTTTGCACGGAATAGAGTTCCTTCTTTACAAGTAAAAGACATAGGATAGAGTTCCTTCTTTACATGGAACAGAGTTCCTTCCTTACAAAGAATAGAGTTCCTTCTTTACAAGGAAAATACAAGGAATAGAGTTCCTTTGTAACAAGGAAATGAGTAACTTCTTTACAAAGAATACAGTTCCTTCTTTACACAAAAAAGTTCTTTACTAGGAATAGAGTGCTTTCTTTACAAGGAATAGAGTTCCTTCTTTAGTTTCTTGTTTTTACAAGGAAAATAGTTCCTACTTTACAATTCCCATGAAATAGAGGCATCCTGCATGAATTTGGAAGTTACCTGAAAATAAATTCTTCTGTCTAAAATATCATACAACAATTTTTGCAAACTTACCCCAAGTGATTCTAAAATAATGTGGATGAATTTTCCCCTTAATTTGAGGTTTGCTAGGGGGGTCGGGTCGAGCAGGAAGTGTCTTATATGCAACAATATCACTCCATTTACTATTGCCTTCCTCATTCCTTGCAGCTAACTATAAATAAAATGAAAATAATACAGTATAACTTATGTTTTATATATCTCGGATAAATAATATAATATTCCCTGTAAAGTCTTAAAGACTAGTGCTATAAACTTCTTCTTACCAAAAGTCCTTGAATAACAAAAATAATCACCTATGTGCAGTAATGGGTAAATACCTTCTCAATCTATTAGGAGTTACTCAGTCATTGCAATTAGGTGACAAAATATTTCATTTTTAAAGCTAGGACATATTTTTCTGTGCAATCCTACTTAGGGAGTGATACCAACTTGCAAGCAAAAACTTAACCAAAGCATGCCAGGGATGCCAACATCAACATTATGGTGATAAAAACAGCCATCCATATTTGTCGAATAGTTGAGCAAAAACATTTCTCCCATTTAATCATTTGTATATTGAATTTACATTGTCACAAGAACTTGTTAATTCAAAAACATTTAATTGATTTATTGAACTATATCACTTGATTATCTTATATCTACAAAATACAACTATCAAAATCTGACACTCTTCATTGATTATTGATTTCCAAACCTCAATGTAAGGCTTTCAATTATTCCTCTTGTAAAAGCAAATTGATTTCACATTGGAAAATAAAGTATATTAACTTTTATGAAAATATTTATGATATATAACTTAGTTTTGAGTAGCGTGGATTAGTTGAAACTCGTATAACTAACATTATACGACTCATAAATTATAGCTTTAACAACCCTTCAGCTTTATCACTCGTTACCACATAAAATGTGACAAGAGGGCCATAATGGCCCTGAGGTTGTAACCTATATATAGGCCCCCGGAGCGAGGCCAGTTTAAACCCCAGGGCTTTTATTTGAACAAACTTGGAAGACACCCATTAGAAGATGTTTCATGGTGTTAAGTTTTTACCATACACATATAATGAAAAACAATGACCTCCCCCCCCCCCCACCCTGGCAGAGCTAATTTTAACCAAGGGCTTTTATTTGAACAAACTTGGTAGACACCTATAAGATGTTTCATGCTTAACATCTAAGCTCTAGCTTATTGGGTTTCTTAAAAGAAGATTTTTTAAGTTTTTACTATACACATATAGTTAAAAACAATGACACCCCTGGGGTGGGGCCAGTTATGACCCAAGGGCTTTTATTTGAACAAACTTTGTAGACACTTACTAGAAGATGTTTCATGCTTAATATATAAACTCTAGCTATTTGGGTTTTTCAAAGAAGATATTTTAAGTTCTTGCTATACACATATTAGGAAAATCAATGACCCCCGGGGCGGACCCAATTTTGACCCCAGGGCTTTCATTTGAACAACCTTTGTAGACACTCACTAGAAGATGTTTCGTGCTTAATATCTAAACTCTAGCTATTTGGGTTTTTTCAAAGAAGATTTTTTAAGTTTTTGCTATACACATATAAGGAAAATCAATGACCCCCGGGGCGGGGCCAATATTGAACCCAGGGCTTTTATTTGAACAAACTTGGTAGACACCCATTAGAACATGTTTCATGCTAAATATCTTAGCTCTAGCTCTTTGAGTTCTTTAAAAGAAGATTTTTTAAGTTTTTACTTTATGGATATAGGGAAAATCAATGACCCCCTGGGGCGGGGCCAATTTTGACCCCAGGGCTTTTATTTGAACAAACTTGGTAGACACTCATGAGAAGATGTTTCATGCTAAATATCTTAGCTCTAGCTCTTTGGGTTCTTTAAAAGAAGAATTTTTAAGTTTTTACTATATGCATATAGGTAAAATCAATAACCCCTGGGGCGGGGCCAATTTTCACCCCAGGGCTTTTATTTGAACAAACTTGGTAGACACTCACTAGAAGATGTTATTTGCCAAGTATCTAAGCTCTAGCTCTTTTGGTTTTTTTAAAAGAAGATATTTAAAGTTTTTTCTTTCGGTTGCCATGGCAACCAGAGTTCTTCATGGAATTAAATTCTTTGAACAATTTTTAAAGGTGACCACCAAAGGAACGTTCCTGTGAAGTTTGGATGAAATTGGCTTAGTGGTTCATGAGGAGATGCCATTTAAAGTAAAAGTTTACGGACGGACGACGGACGGACGGACGAAAAGCGATCACAAAAGCTCACCCTGTCACTTTGTGACAGGTGAGCTAAAAAACAGATTTGTATTTCTTTGAATTGAAACCAGTTATTCAGTAGTATCAGAGATTTCAAAACCAAAATGATAGCATATAGCATGGAACTTTTGTTCTGGTTATCTTGGTTAAATACTGGAGGCATAAGAGAGTAAGTCATCACTTTAGTGCAGTATTGGGATAACTACTGAAATAGGAGTTCTCCCATCAGTGCACTTAGGTGTCATAACCAAGATGCCAGACATGGCTATATACATGTACCAGTGGTGTCATAACCCAGTAGCCAGGCATGGCAATATATATGTCCAGTGGTGTCATAGCTCAGTAGCCAGACATGGCAATACATATGTCCAGTGGTGTCATAGCCCAGTAGCCAGGCATGGCAATACATATGTCCAGTGGTGTCATAGCCCAGTAGCCAGGCATGGCAATACATATGTCCAGTGGTGTCATAACCCAGTAGCCAGGCATGGCAATATATATGTTCAGTGGTGTCATAACCCAGTAGCCAGACATGGCAATATATATGTTCAGTGGTGTCATAACCCAGTAGCCAGGCATGGCAATATATATGTTCAGTGGTGTCATAGCCTAGTAGCCAGGCATGACAATATATATGTTCAGTGGTGTCATAACCCAGTAGCCAGGCATGGCAATATATATGTTCAGTGGTGTCATAACCCAGTAGCCATTCCTTTCTGTTCTTGCTTGTACCAATATACTTTCCTTGTTTAAGAAATTACCTGAATCCCCCCTCCCCCAATATACTTGTGACATTCTAGCCCTGTAATTCTTGACATTCTAAAGGTCAAGTCCCAGTCTTTAATAAAAAAGATTTTAGTTCAAGAAAGTTTCATAAAAACTTACTCTGAATTTATATTCTTTATTTCTTCTTAAGCCATGTATTCTATGTGAAAGCAGTGGACCATTGTATACAGGGATAAAACCATGACCCTGTAAATATTAGAGGTAGAAATGTTAAACATGTAGAGTTATTACATATAAGTACATAATGCATAGTGAAAATGAAAATGTGTAAACACATTAAAATGAACCACTGCAACATGATCGTGTTAAGAACTTTGCATGTTATTTCGGGTCATTTCAGGGTTATGTACAATAACATGTAATTTTCAATTATAACTTGGGTCTTAAATCTGTTTTACTTTTCTTATATATAATTTTTTTTTATCTTCTCAAGTTTGATTTTCTTAAAAAAATTTGGCTCATCTGGAAGCATGAAGCTTTAAAGATACGGCATACAACATTATGTTACAGGATACTACAAAGATTGATAATTATTGAAACAAAACATATTGTTGAATGCAACACGCGGTTCCCACTAAGAATAAATCTTCCTGTGGTTAAGGAGGGCTTAATATAACTATAATAATCAATTATAATTTGCATTTCGCGGGCTGACTGAAATACTGTCATAAGTCCTTCTCAATTTCATATAAGTTACTGCAGTTTTGTAGTCAACCCTTGATTTATAGACCATAATATACCAATTTTATCAAATGTGTATAAATTAAACAATATCCAGTGAAATTTGATCCATAAATAACTAATTGCCTTGGTACTGTTTTTTTCCCCTTTATTATCCTTCCTAATATGAAAGTTAGAAACTGCCTGCAGGAGAGAGACAGTGCTACAGTGATTTTATATTTATTAACATTATTAGGCCAGAAAAGTCTAAAATTTCCCTACAATTAGATCAATAAATGGCAAAATCTTTCTGCTCACTCAATACAATGCAAAAACCGACACCAGCACATTGTTGTTTTCTGCAATAATGAGGACAAAACATACCAATGCAATAACTTGTAAAGTATTTTTTTTTTACTATAAAATATATGGTATTACCTAAATTTATTGGGATTTTGTAATAACCACATTGTAAATAAAAGAAATGATCCTAATTAAGGACTTGTTGTCTAGGTTGCATAGGTGTGGTAGTCTAGAACCTAAATCTTAACATAATCATTCTTTATAAATTTTGTGTCTGATACATCCAGAAAGTGGTAACACATTACCTCAATAATTAAGACAAGCCTCTACAACCAGTCTATGTTAATTGAATATCACAGATTTATTTCTTTTTACACTGACTTGTTCTGCTTTGAATTCAAGATTTTGTACTTAGCAGACGACTTTCCCTACCTTAAATTTATAACATTTTAGTTCATTTAAAGGGTCTTACAATCGACATACTGATTGTGAAATGCCAACAATATAGAATCTGCTAAGAGGACCATGCTTAAACTTTTGGGTTGCTTTTAACTGCATCAACATCATAAAGGTTGTATGGTGACTAAGTCACTTTCCGGCTTTACTGGTGGAGAAACACCTCAGTTGTCCCTCCCTGCATTATTTCAGGCTCAAGCAGGCACCGGAGTAGAACCACCAACATTCCAATAAGATAGCTGGATAGCTTCCTCTGACAAAGAATCCAAACTCCCTAGCAGGATTTGAATGCACAGTGGTAAAGGGCGAGTGGTCTGAAGTCAATTTTTTTAACCACTCGGCCATGGACGTCCCATCTTAAACTGTGTGAAAATGCAGCCTGGTCTGGCTCTATATTCGTGCCATAGATCAATCATTACCTCCCCTTGTCTTCAGAGAGATAAATAAACACTTACAGAGATCTGATCATCTATTTGCAGGGCAAATTCATCATCATTGGGCCTCTTTATCCATGATATGACTAGTTCGGTGACGTAACACTCGGACAACATCGGGGGATCTGGTTGTGAAGGGGCTGATCCGCTCGTACAAAAACTCACTGGTTCACTATATTCACTGTAACAAAATAAAAAACAAATAAATAGATGTATCATATGAGAACTGTTTTGTATTTATTTTCCCTCCAATAGTTCAAAATAAATTGACAGAAGAATATCATATAATCATGTATCTTCTCTTTTTAGGGTCTATAGTGACATAAATATTTTAAATGGCAATCAATGGCCTTTTTTGCATTAAACAATGCACCATAAAACACAGCTCATATTTGAACACTACTTATTTCCATATAGCGATATTCTGTAATACTCATAAATTGACATAACATATTACACATTTTTTATCATAAGAGAAGTTTGAAAACAGATCCATGCATTATACATTATTCATATCAAGTGATATGTCTGAAATTTTTAATTCGCTACCTTTTCAATACAAGGAAATATCCACTTATACTTTAAATCTTATAACAACAAAATCAACTCCCTGAAGGATTGCCTTGTTCAGTTATGGGAGAAAAGTTGCATGATACAGTACATTCTCTAGTTTTCTATAATCTACATGACTCTCAAGGGTGTAAGGTGTTAAAAAAGGAATTTGCTAAATTGATTTACCTTTTTCTTAAAAACACAAAGCAGTAAAAAAAAACCCCCAGTGTTTTTTTTTCCCCTAAAACCCTGCTTAATCCTTTATTCATGTAAAAACTTTTAAAAATCCAAAAAAACTAGTGAAAAAAAATTTTGAATTTTTTTCTTTGAGAAATTTTTTTGTAATATGTGTGTGAAGTTAACAAAAAGGAACCTTTAGTGATTTTTAGCCGAAAATTGTACAAATAAAATATTGTTGTTCTTTTTTAAGGCCCAAAAAATATTTCGTTTTCTAGCTATTTTGCAGATCATTTCTATACAAATATCTATTTTTCTTACCTTTTACCAGTGTTATTTATTGCTGCTAATCGAAAGGTATATTTTGTGGCCGCTGTTAGCTTTGACACCCTGTATTGCTTCTGTAGGCCATTATAAACTTCTACATAATTGCCAGGGGAATCCCCAACCTCAGACTCCAAGATATAGGCAGAGATTTTAGAGCCATTTTCATTTGGTGACTGTAATAGGAATAAAAAATTTTACATTAAACAAATGTTATTAAATATATTTAGGTTTATTGTTTTTCGATAAAATAGGAACTGTTGATTTTTTTACTTTTTCAACACATGGTAGTGGTAGTTATGGTTTCACTATTTGAAATTGATGGAATTAAAGTATCCGCAACGAGCCACAGAGTCACCAAACTTTTAACACTGTCTTAAAACATCATTTAATTTATATTTACTAAGAAAATGTACTTTTCATATTCAAATACACATATCACAATCAAAATGGCAGTTAAAATAGATACTGTCAAGGGTGAAAGTTGGATATTTAATACCTGAAAATTCTGTTTTATGTAGGGAAATATGGTTGATTTTCAAAATGTGAGTAAAATGGAATGTCTCTGTAATTTAACACACATGAATATTGTACATAAACAGAATACAACATTCTGGAACAAAATATTATACTGCTTTCTTATTTAGGGTTTCAATCATTTTGCAATGATTTCAGGCATCCGCCATTCCCTTTTAAGGCAATATACTTCCATTTTCTTTCATGGAAGCATTAGTTTTAAAAATTCCAACAAAATTTTTGCAGCAGACTTTTCTTCTGGATATCAAAAAAAACAAAAAAACAAGACTTTACAACTTCTAAATAAATAATAAAATCCTAGTCAATGAACATTTGTCAATATATAATCACAGAACAAATAATGATTTGAAGCTCCCACATTATACTGGATCAATTAATATTTCATGATGTTGTGGGTTGAATTAACTTTTATGGATGGCACTTTCTTGAATTCAATTGTATCAGCAGAATTGAAGAATTATGAAAATTGCTTTTTATAGCTTCCCAGTAAAACTGAATTTCTTGTCTTATTATTATTACATTCAAGTCAGATTGACTTACAGTGAAACCTTTGTAGAACAGCACCCTCTATAAAGCAACACTCTTTGTTAAAAAGACAAAAATTTTGGTTGGTTGATGCCAAGAGATATTGCTCTACAAAGCTTAAAGGCCCATATTATGCCACAGAAATGATTCATTTTTTTTATTTCTCAAAAACTTTATACTTTTGGTGTCATGATATAGCTTCTAAAAAGTTACTATTTGCCAATTACCTGAACCATCTTTTTCTTCTGTTTCATGTTTAGCAATTAGTAAAGTTATATTGATTTAAAATTTGATACTATGTTTACAATTTCGTAACTTTTATGACAAGTAACTTCAATATTCAGTACTTCTTCCTTCGGGTGAAAAAGAATATAACATGCACTAAAACCATAACCATTCTTACATTATAAAACTAATGTCTGCCCTTTGAAAGAACGAAAAACTTATTTCAGTTTCTGAGGCATAATGCGCCTTTAAATTAATTGTGAAGTTTTATTTCAGGGAATAACTGATATTATTAACCCTCGTTATTTTTGTAATGGTAATTTCCCATAGGTCAATGGGAGTTATTATTACAGTTAATTCAAGTGTACCATGTGACTAAAAGTGTTGTACTATTGCACATGTAACAGTACTTTTTCACATTAAAAATCTGAAAAATAAAACCCTATAGAAACTGTGTCCAAATGAAGTATTTGTTTGGGGTAATAAAATTAATAACACATAAGTTTTGTGAGTAACAATAAACATCAACAATTGTAAAAATATTGTAACCCTTGGCTAATGCTTCGGGCAACAGTATATTCCTTGAGATGATATTTTTACTGTTACAAGCAAACCAAAGTGTTATTGATATACTGTTGATGTAGAGATTATTGTTCAACAGAGGGTCATCTGAAATAATGTAAGATAAGTTGTTACTGAGGGTCACTGGAAATGATATGAGTCACGTCACGACAAAACCAACATAGTGCATTTGCGTCCATGCTGTTCGCTATCAGTTTCTCTACTTGTTAAAAGGTTTAAAAGCAAACAGCATGGATCCTGATCAGACTGCGCAAAGGCTGGTCTAGATCCATGCTGGTCGCAAACGCATTGTTGGTTTTGTCATGACACCGCTCAATATAAGGTCAGTTGTTACTTACATTCCATTTAAGATGAAGATAAGTTTTTGATTTTTGCTGTAGTTTAGGGTGTTGGGGCTGGTCTGGTTCACAGGGACTGGTTTTAAAACTGATGGCTTCAGTGGGTGATCCCCGCACATCGTCCAATATTGTACAAACTCTGGAAATATAATCAAATGATTAAATATACTTTTCTTCTTTATTTTTCAACATTCAAAGTCCATTTAAGATATACAGTATAAGGGTCAATGAAGAAGTTGCTTTGCTGAATATATCTTATAATTCATACAGGAAAATCGGCATCAGCAATAAAAACAATTTATACTGTAACGACGGTCATATTTAAAACTGCTATATGGTTTGTCATCATAAAACCACTCTGTATACTTTTTTAAATGTCACTAAAATTCTCATTAACAAACAAAACCAAAAGCCTTCAGTTGTGTTTTATTTTTGTCTGCAGAAACCAAATTTGCATTATCTTCTGCTTTTTGTCATAATATTACATAACAATACATCAAAATCATGAATAATACACGACCCATCTCAAATTTGATCCCTATAAGCCATTAAGCAGAATATAAAACACAATGGACTCGTATAAACTTGATTCATATGCAGAGAGTGATCTTCATTACTACGACAATTTTAGTTGTGTTCACGCTAACACAAATTTATTTCTTTCACTATTTACATTCAGGTGCAACAGTCTCGCACTAAAAGCCGCCACTTCCTGTCATGATGACAACACCTTTACTATTAATCCGGTTTTCCTTTTTACCCCGCCTTCAAAAGCATTGTTTTAATAATGGAAAATGTTATTTTGTCACATTTATAGGGGGGAAATTGTCGGATCTATGAATGAAATGGGAATTTTATCCATATTTAGAAAACCTTTCTCACTACTTATTTACTTATTTGGTTTGCCACCTTTAACAGATTTTTCTAAATAAAAATATGTGTAGTTGCCCGTCATATCTATCTATCAAAACAGGAACATTAATTTCTACCATCCTTGAGAGCAACTCCACTGAGTTCTTAAAGCCAAAAAACATAAAATTGGAATTTCCTACAAAGATAAACTGCAGCATTTAAAACAGAAAGATATGCAAATGATAATATACTCAGAAATAAATTGAAATTTGTATTTTTGCATGATTCCAGTGAAAAAGTGTTTCACTTTTCACAAAAAAAGTGTTTCATTTTTCACAATTAGAATAATTTGAATAATTATCCTGGAAAAACGGAGTACATAAATGACCTGAAATTTTGCACACATAATACTGGTCAAGACCTACATCAATGGATTATTAAGATATTATTTTCAGTCCTGTCTTGTTAAAAACACCTTAGTTGAGTCCCTTTAACATGAGAATCTGAATTTCAAGCTGCTTTAACTTAAAACTTCTCCTGGGGCTGTATGTCCTTGAACAAAATTTAATCAAATGACTGCATAAAACTTTCACTTTCTAGTTTACTCTTAATTTATACTGCATGTAAAGAATTTTCCGTAAGCTTTCGATAATGTATCATTCTATTTTGTAATTTGTAGTACTTACTTTAAATGGTATTCTGTGGCTGGTTTAAGATCTTTTAAGGTTATTTCTGTGGCATCACCACTGCAACAAAAAGGTAAAATATTACTGTAAAATTTTATAAAATAAATATTAGATCTGTTGAAAAACATTTATAAGATCATACAGCAACTTTCAAGGTTTACTGGTGAAAGAAGATCTCAGGTTCCCCTCTTTGCCGAGTGATTAACATGAGCAGGGCACCCAAGTAAAACCATCGTCTCTGACCTTCTGTATGCTAGATATATGGCTTCCTCACATGAAAGAATCCGAAACAAGATTTTAACTCATAACCGTGAGGGGCAAGCCATTCAAAGTCTTACCAAGATTCAAACTCATACAGTGGGTATCTTGGAAGAAGCACTGACATTTTTACACTTAGAGAAAATATTGTCAGGATCAGGCAGGTTTAATGCTCTTCCATTCATTTCCTGAAATATCTTTTAGCAAATGTTCACTTTATCTGTTTCTAAAAATAGAACACCAGTGGATAAAGCTGTTACAACTAAGGCTTACACATTGACAACTTGTTCTACTACATATTAACACATTATGTGTTTTACATGTCAAACAGACCTCTCACAAATTGTTGGCTAATTATTAAATATTTAAGGAACAATAAATACAAACCCTGTGAGACAGCTGTCATTTTATAATGTGACTTTTTGATGACATAAATTCTTCACTGAATTATGCTAGTGTCATGAAATATTGCGCACGCTTCAGATTTTTTGAATACATGGCAAAAACCTTTTTTTGATTAGTAAGCAAATTTTTATTTCTTATCGAACATCAGGTATTTCTTTTCATCAATACCTTAAATACGTTTCAGTGAACTTTGCCACTTTTTGTATCCTGATATAGGAACGGAATTTAACGTCAAATTGGTATGATTTTTGTTTCCGTTACTAGTCACATGACCTGCCACATGATCAGACAGCAGATGAGAAAAGTCACAAAATTTTAGGAACTTCATCGAGCTTATTACTCTTTTGTGTAAAAACCCCTTCGTTACCTGTATACGAGTTTATATTTGCCGTCTCGTCCTTTTTCGCACAGTAACAGCTCATAGTTAAATTCTCCTACGTCTATTTCATATTCTTTTGTGTCTATTTCAGGGGCCGAGAGCTGAATCAAAGCACTCCGGGACTCTATATCTGTCACCTGTAAACAAAAAACAAAGATATAGATTGTTAGCATTTGATTTGTCTAAAGCAACCAGCATAATTTAATTAGTATGGCGCCAAAACAGGAAAGATGATCATTTGATATGTTTCAAATAACATTTTTTAAATGCATGTTCATTTTGAATAATATATCATTACATTTCTTGGAAATAAAATCTTCTAAAAGTTACTTTAATGAGCATAAGACGAAGATTGTTTTTGATTTACAATTAGAGATAAAACTAAGATTTTTCTTTAAAATACATTCCTTTTTTTCTCTGTTATATGCGATCACTGAAACTAGAACATTTTCTACATCTAATTTTCATTAATGCTACATCATTATTCATTATCAACAAGTAAAATTTAATGAGGAAAGAGGACATAAACATTTTCAAAACTTGAAAGTTCCGCAAGTTGTCTTTATATTGGAAAACAAAAAAAACACCATCTTATACAAATTTAGATTTAGAAGCAAAATTAATGGTCTCCAAGAAGTTGATATCTTCCTTGATTCACTTCAAGGACATCATATTATTACATAATTAAAAAAAAAAAATTTGGCAGCTCATTCAGTGAAAATATTGTATATTATTATTTAATAATAATAATTTTTGCGGCACATTCAGTGAAGATATCGTATATCATTATATAATAACTAGAACTGCCACTATCATGGCGTGAATACCCCCGCATACCACTTTGTCAGAATCAACAGTGGCCATTTAGAGCTTAAAGACAACCTCCCTGCCAAATCTGAGGTTACTAAGCCAGTACATTGCTAAGTTATGTATTCTACATGCTTCAAATGTGAAAATGTCAAAATCAATACATTGCGGACAGGACATTCTTGAGCAATTGAGAAGAAAAGCTTTTTTTTTGTCAAGGTCACTGTGACCTTGACCTTTGACCCAGTGACCTCAAAATCAATAGGGGTCACCTTATAGTCATGATCAACATCCATGCCAAATATGAAGCCTGTGGGTCAAAGGAATCTTAAGTTAACGGGTGGACAAACTTTTTGTAGTCAAAGTCCCTGTGACCTTGAACTTTGACCTGGTGACCTCAAAATCAATAGGGGTCATCTACTAATCATGACTAACACCCTGTGACCTTGACCTTTGACCTGGTAACCTCAAAGTCAATAGGGGTCATCTACTAATCATGACTAACCTCCAAGCCAAATATGAAGACTGTAGGTCAAAGGAATCTTAAGTTATTGGGCGGACAAGCTTTTTGAAGTCACAGCCCCAGTGACCTTTACCTTTGACCTGGTGACCTCAAAGTCAATAGGGGTCATCTACTAATCATGACTAACCTCCATGCCAAATATGAAGACTGTGGGTCAAAGGAATCTTAAGTTATTTGGCGGACAAGCTTTTTGAAGTCAAGGCCCCTGTGATCTTGACCTCTGACCTGGTGACCTCAAAGTCAATAGGGGTCATCTACTAATCATGACTAACCTCAATGCCAAATATGAAGACTGTAGGTCAAAGGAATCTTAAGTTATTAGGCGGACAAGCTTTTTGAAGTCAAGGCCTCTGTGACCTTGACCTTTGACCTGGTGACCTCAAAATCAATAGGGGTCATCTACTCGTCATGACTTACCTCCACGCCAAATATGAAGACTATGGGTCAAAGGAATCTCAAGTTATTGGGCGGACAAGCTTTTTGAAGTCAAGGCCCCTGTGACCTTGACCTTTGACCTGGTGACCTCAAAATCAATAGGGGTCATCTACTAATCATGACTAACCTCCATGCCAAATATGATGACTGTAGGTCAAAAGAGTCTTAAGTTATTGGGCGGACAAGCTTTTTGAAGTCAAGGCCCCCTGTGACCTTGACCTTTAACCTGGTGACTTCAAAATCAATAGGGGTCATCTAATAATCATGACTAACCTCCATGCCAAAAATGAAGTCTGTAGGTCACAGGAATCTTTAGTTATTGGGCGGACAAGCTTTTTGAAGTCAAGGCCCCTGTGACCTTGACCTTTGACCTAGTGACCTCAAAATCAATAGGGGTCATCTACTAATCATGACTAACCTCCATGCCAAATATGAAGACTGTAGGTCAAAGGAATCTTAAGCTATTGGGCGGACAAGCTTTTTGAAGTCAAGGCCCCTGTGACCTTGACCTTTGTCCTAGTGACCTCAAAATCAATAGGGGTCATCTACTAATCATGACTAACCTCCATGCCAAATATGAAGACTAAGGGTCAAAGGAATCTTAAGTTATTTGGCGGACAAGAAAAAACCGACGGACAGCCAGACGGCCGGACGGACGGACAAGCTGATTCCAGTATACCCCCTTACAACTTTGTTGTGCGGGGGTATAATGAAGATATCATTTAATATTATAAAATAATAATTTTTGAGACACATTTAGTGAAGATATTGTATATTATTATATAATAATCATTTTTGCGGCATATTCTGTGAAGGGATCGTATTTTATCATATAATAATAATTTTTGCAGCATATTCTGTGAAGGGATAGTATTTTATCATATAATAATAATTTTTGCGAGACATTCGGTGAAGAGATCGTTTGTTCAGTTTTATCTTCTGATATCATGTTTTTATTTCCCTAATACAATTTATATCGTATTTCAAATCACAGAACATATAATGAAATTGATTCACCATGCTACATGCAGGGTATATTATGCTGTAATGTTATCTCCTTTGATTTCATCTGATAATTGTTTAATACAAAAAAAACAAAAAAACAATATATTAATAATATTAATCTAATATCTCTCAGACCTAAAAGAACACAAAAAAAAATAAAAAAATTCACACTTCATGTCCGAATATGTAAAAATTATCACTTCAAACAAATAAGCATTACCAAGGCGATTAAGCAAAAGAAGTCTTAAATCAACCATTTTTTCTTTTCTCCAACCCCATTCCCCCCCTCCCCACCCTCGTTATATTCTGAAATGTTTAAGACCTCTTTTGCATTAGTTAGGTAGTATCAAAGGTTTCAAACCATCCTCAAGTTCAGTGAGAGGCACGCCATGCTAAGGACATTATAGCAGCCGTATATTACCTTAACCCAGCATAAAGGTCGACGACAACTGACCTTAGGGGTTGGCATTTTGGATAATTGCAATTGTATGGCACGTCTCTCATCCTCCATCATCTCAGACTGGTTCTCCCCTGATTGTGATTGGTTAATGCTGTTGGTAGTAGGTGGAGATTCCGTATCATTTGTGCCTAAAAATAGAACAAAAATGATAAAAATCTATAAATAACTAATGATTTACTTGATTGTTTAATTTGATTGTTTAATGTAACAGGTAGCATACATGAAGTTCTTAGATTGATAAAAAGGAATTCATGTTACTATTGGTAGTGGGTGGCATTTCTTTGCCTCAAATTAAGATAACAGAAAACTAGAGATTTGTCCATAGTACATGGATGAACCCAACCCCTCCTATACACATTCTACAGTTGTTTAGGCAGTAGCGGATTTTAAGGTATAGCGGATAGCATGGCAGCAATCCTTTCTACCAGAAATGCATTTTTCAACAGAAAACAATTATATCATCAAAAAGAGTGATATATTCCCCACCCATCGTTAATTTTGTTTTATTTATTTCAAATTGCACACAGCGAGTTTTTCTTACACAAATCAGAACGGGGTAACCGGAAGTTGTCACCGTCACGCTGTTTTTAACCGCTTCCAAAAAAATAAACAGAAAACTATTGATCAACAACAGGTAAAGTAATGAAATACTGACATGATTTGGTGTAAAATTCATTTGTTTATAATTTTTGAAAAGCATTTGCAGATATAATACGTATTGCCACTAAATATTATTGAAAATGAACAGCAAGCGTTTCTGTCAGTAACGGATTTTACATGCGAATTAGGGGGTGGTTCAAGGGGTTATAGGGGTTATAATCCACTAACAGGGCCAGTAGAAGGCAGTGAAATAGCCTACACTAAGAAAGGTTGGATGGATGCACCAACTTTTAAACATTTTCTTGAACATTTTAACAACCATGCTGTCAAGGAAAGACCAGTGATACTACTTGTAGATAGTGTAAGTAGCCATATCAGCATGTCAGTGTTTGAATATGCTAAAGGTAATGGGATAGAGCTTTATAGATTAGTACCAATTAGTACCAAATGCTACTCATCTGATGCAGCCTCTTGATAAGGGTGTGTTTGGACCTCTCAAGCAGAGATGGCATCAAGTGGTACGGCAGCATAACCGTGCAAATCCAGGAAATCTAATAGGTAAAGAAAACTTTGCAGCGAAACTTAAAGATGCTTTTCTATTATTCTACAGTTGTTCTATAAACCTTTAACAGTAATAAATCATTCAAAGCTTCAGGGATCTATCCAGTAGATGGAACAGTGATAACAAAGGAGATGTTGAAACCTGGAATAACTTACAGTAGTTCACAGCCAGAACCTGAAGAAAATATTGTCCCAATCCTAGTTCTTCTCAGGACAATGGTGCAGTTTTAGCACTCAAGGCTCTTGACAGTGCACTCACAACTCCTGTTAAACAGAAGTACATCAAACGTATTGAGGATGGTTATGATATAGAAGGTAATTCACCTTGTTTTGATGTCTATAAGCGATTGGTGATGACTACAACTGGGAAGTCTAAAAAATCTACATCAACCTTTACTGAAAGTCAGAATCTGGAGGCTGACAGAAATGATAGTGTTTCGTCACTAGAACTATTGGCTTAAGCAGCTTCAGTACATGGGTTAGCAGCCACTGGGTCATGTGACAGCAGCAATTCTAAGCAAGCTTCAATTTCCACCGCACTCAGTGAATCTTTGGTGTATCCCATAGATGAAACAACAAAAGTAAAGAGAATATCACAGACTGATACATTACCTGACAACCTAACATCACCAGAGTCAATGAGAAAAATGTCACTGAAAGAACTTAGTCATATAAAAAAGTTCAGTGAAAGAGAGAAAAAAGCTAAACGAAAGTATATCCAAGATAAAGAAAGGAGCGCAAGTTGGAGGAAAAAAAAAGGCCAAGACAAGTGCTGATGTTTTTAGCAAAGGTAAAAAGAAATCTGCTAGACAGACTAAAATGAAAAAGAAGACTGTGAGAAATGACAATACTGATGAAGAGAGTGCACAATGTATGATTTGTAAAGTATATTTGAATGATGAGAAATCACTAGGTCTGGGATGGCTGTGGGTAGAGTGTGATAAGTGCAAATCATGGGTTCATTCTGACTGCAGCTCAATCACGGTACCAGAAGAACAGGAAGAACCATACTATTGTCATGAGTGTATGTTTATATTGAAGCTTTAAGCAGTTGTTTTACAAAATATAGAAATTCCTAAGGTGACAAACCAGGGATAGCTTTGTATCATTAGTGCTTAAATAAATCCTTTATGTAAATTTCAGAAAGTATGTACATTATTTAAAATGTTATATATTCATATTGATACATATATAAGAAATACCTGATATTAATAAATATGAAAATTATAGATCAGTGTTTAAAATATATGAGACACTAATCTTTCATGATATAGTTGTTTAAAATATATGAGAAGTTAATCTTTCATGTTATAGTTGTTTAAAAACATATGAGAAATTAATCATTCATGTTATAGCTGTTTAAAATATTTGATAAATTATTCTTACAGAACAGAAAAACCTTAGAATATCATATTGAAGTTTATCTTTACAGAACTTTCTACATGCATTTTACTTATTTTATTTGTTCTTTCAGGTATCAACAACTGAACCAGGGCCATCAACAAGTTCCATTATCCATGACAGTAAACAGGCTATTATAACTTTAGAACATTCTGTCATTAAATGATACCATGCTTTTAAGATAAGGCCTCCTCTCACTGAACCACAGACTAGATTAATTGTTGACAGGGAGTACACTAATATTTCAGACATAGATGCCTGTCTAGAAGGTGTGGATGCCAGAATTAACATCATTTGACAAACATTTATACAATTTGGTTACAGATAAACAAAGAAACTTGATGTTGTCCGATATTGCAGGACTACCTTTTGGCCATGTACCAAAGATTTTAGCAAGTTGCTTTCGCAATGTGCTTGACAGTGGTGGAAAAATCTTTGCCACTGCAACAGGTGAACCAGTTCCAAAGTTTCCACCTTGGCCAGCTTCAAATGAAAAAAGGTGGCGGCATTGTTATACCTTTTTTTTATACTCTTATTGTTAATAATTTGGATGAAACTTTCATATGTTATCTGACACACTTTCCAATATGTCAGAAGGAAAGTGTCATGGACATAAAAGTCCAGAACTGATAATTATACTAATGTGATATGATTCTATTTGATTTTTCTTTGATTTGTTTAAGTGAAAATGCCAATCATTGATCTGAATAAACATTTGTTGTAAAATGATATTATGTGTCATATAATACATATCTGTTTACATGTAGAAAAGTTTGAAATATTACCACCAAATGTAATATTTTTCATTCCAATAACTCCAAACATGTTCCTGTGACATGTACTTTATAAATACTAAATTTAGAACGTTTTGAGATGACTCTCATTGACCTTCACCTACCTATCCCATACTCCCCAAAGTTATCCGAACATAAACAAAGAATACAACATGTAAAGTCAATTTTATAGCCTGAAAAAAAAAATTGTTTTAACAGGGGAAGTATTTTGACTACTGAAAGGTACTATTTATTTTTTTATATTAAAGACATAAGCACGCCATCTCCTTAGCTATCCGCTACTGCTAAAAAAACTACTTCATCAATCAAACACACCACAGAGACTGTACACTAGACATGGGACAGAGATAAAGGAAATCTATAATTCCCCAACCCCCATACACTCCCAGTTTCATTAAAATATAAAAAATTTTTTTTTCCATTTGCGAAATTGACTACACCCACAAACAAAACAACGGACTAATTACAGAAAAAACCCAAAACATTAGCCCGATCACACACCAGTGTCCAGGAAATTAAATAAACAACAGAGCAAATACATGTAGACTTTTTTCAACATTAACTCTTATTATTTCTTCCTTTTTTTTAATAACATCATGTATCTTTCTGTTTTAACCTTATCCCCCACTCCCTACACCTTTCTATACTTAAAGTTCAACATAACAGGGGAGGGGTATGTTCATAAAAATTATTCTAATAAAAAACTTAAAAAATTTACTTCAAAATATACACAAACATTTTAATGCTCAACTTTATGATTTTTAAGTCTCCATTACGTATTTTGTAAATAAATATAACTAGTCTACATATTGAGGATTTCAACAAAACTCTTTACATAAAAGAAAGCATGTTCAACTTAACCCTTCACCTGATGGAATCAAAAGTGACTAGCCTTTGCCACCACTGTAGAGCCGGGCCAGTCTGCCCATCTGTGCAGTCTGACCGGGCTCGATACTCTTGGTAGCTCTATTTTTTCTACGTATTCTAATACTAAATTGAGTTTTGAATGGACTGTTCCAAACTTAAAGCTGGGAAAATCCATTATATAAATTAAAAGGTAAAGTGCTAATTATCCTTGATAATTTCTTATTGGTTTGAAGAATGGAGAGATCAATTCACCTTGTCAGTTAAAAAAAATCTTTCATAATCTGTGCCAGAGACCGCAAAGATGTTAAGGTGGGTTGGCATGGTGTATAGAGTGAAATAAAATAAACAAACAATGTTTTATCAACGTTTTCAAAATTCGTTATTCTGAAAATGTTTCTACACAAGGTAGATTTAACGACAGTTTTGTTTCAACCCACTGGAACAGCCTTAATTTAACCACCAAAAATAAAGTCCAACTTGATAATAATAATTTTATTTTTTCTTGACGTGTTAGAATGGAAATAGATATTAATTTTTCGTGCATTATTGTATAATAATGCACATTTTTCGTTCAAATGCTTTGTAATTAATCACTCAGGCCTATCAGCCTTTGTGATTATATTACTACGCATTTGAACTCAAACCGTGCATTATTCTACAACAATGCACTCATAATTGATCTATTTCCTAAATAACATATTAAAATGCAGTGCAAGTCAAACTCGAGCAGTGTTTTGATAACACACACATACTTTAATGCCAAATATAAACACAATCATTGAAATCCTTCAAAAGTTCTTTTTAAGAAACCAGTCATTTCCCGTAAAAGTGCATAATTCTATCGGTAAGTTGACTGCACCCCACATAAATTTGACCTATGTCTTATATATATATATATAACTAAGACAGTACAGGTTTTTAACACAGGAAAGTACACTTCTTGTAGTTTCAGAGTTATGTCCCTGGACATAGTTCAAAATGCAAAAGTTACCAGAATTAGGCAAGGCAGAGTTACTGTTCTTTGCACTGGACTTCTTATAAATAAGATCTATCTACCTACAAAGATTCTTGTTGATACCTCTTATGGTTTCCGAGTTATGTCCCGGACAAAGTTTAAAATGTAAAAGTGAACAAAGGGCAATAAGTCCAAAATAAGCCAAGGCAGAGTAACGTTTCTTGTGCACTGCACATCTACCCATTAAGATCTATTTACCTAAAAGTTTCATGTTGATTCAGAGTTATCTTAACTGGACAAGATTTTTCTAAAACAAACGGGGCTTAATAGAGTTATGGTTCTTTTGCACTGCACTTCTACCCAATGAGATCTATCTACATACATAGTTTCATATTGATATCTCTAATATTGATCTCTCTAATAAACTAAGAGTTATGTTGCAATAAAGTTCAGTTTTAAAATGAACAAATGGCAATAACTCAGTTATGGTTCTTGTGCATGGCACATTTACCAATTGAGATATATCTACCTACATAGTTTCATGATGATATCTCTTATAATTTTTAAGTAATGTCCCGACAAGATTTTTCTAAAAGGGGACATAATTCAAATTGGGGCAAAACAGAGTTATGAATCTTTTGCACTGCACTTCTATCCAATGAGATCTATCTACCTACAAAGTTTCATGCTGATATCTCTTATAATCTTAGAGTCATGTTCCAGACAAATTTCAAAGTTTAAAAATAAACAAAGGGCAATAACTCTAAAATTAGGCAAGCAGAGTTACCAGTCTTACACACTGCACATTTACTCATTGAGAGTAAGGGAAGAAAATTAAAAAATGGGACGGAACAGAGTTATGGTTCTTTTGCACTGCACTTCTACACAATGACATCCATCTACCTACAAAGTTTCATGTTGATATCTCATATAATTTAAAATGTTCAAAATAACATGCATAAAATCGTTTAATTTGACAAACAAATAAAAAACTTTAAGCAATACACTTTGCACTTACAGTAAAAGTCCTATCTGTGACAGAAAGAAGATACTGGATAGGACTGATTTTTTTCAAAGTTGTTGTGGGTTTTTTTTTTTTATTGTTTTTTTTTTTATTGTTTTTTTTTTGATATTATGATTTATTATGTTAAGATAATAAAACATGCAAAAATTGTTAAATTTGACCCACAAATAGAAAACTTGTAAATAATAAATATCCGTTGCACTTAAAGTAAAAGTCCTATCTGTGGCAGAAAGAAGATACCAAAAAGAACTGATATGTTTCCAATTTGTTTGGATTTTTTAGTAATTTTCTTGATATTATGATTTATAATGTTAAAATAATAAAACATACAAAAAAATTGTTTAATTTGACCATCAAATTAAAACCTTTTAAGCAATATACTTTGCACTTTAAGTAAAAGTCCTATCTGTGGCAAAAAGAAGATACCAGATACGATACATATTTTGTTGTTGTTTTGTATTTTTTCCTTTTCTTGATATTATTAAATGTTAATGTTTTGTAAATGTTAAAAGGGGCCAATCAAATTAATATCAGCAAACATAATAAAACACTACCCGAGAATGCTACCAACAAAGTTTGGTGATCATCCATCAATTAGTTCTGTAGGAGAAGATGTTTAAAGATATTTCTATTTTTAGCCCTAGAGACCCCTAAAAGAATCAAAATAATATTAGCAAACTTGATAAAAGACTACCCAAGAATGCTACAGACAAAGTTTGGTGATCATCCATCCAGTAGTTCTGTAGAAGAAGATGTTTAAAGGTTTTTCTATTTTTAGCCCTAGAGACCCCTAAAAGGGGCCAATCACATTAATATGAGCAAACTTGATAAAAGACTACCCAAGAATGCTACAGACAAAGTATGGTGATCATTTATCCATTAGTTCTGTAGCAGAAGATGTTTAAAGGTTTTTCTATTTTTAGCTCTGCTGACCCCTAAAAGGGGCCAATTGGAATGACATGAACAAATTCAAGTGTGACTGTCACAAGGATGCTACAGACCAAATTTGAAGTAAATCTGCTTAGTAGTTTCAGAGAAGACGACGATTGTTGACGCATGACGACGGACGCCGGAGCATCCCCCTTTGATACTAATAGCTCACCCTGAGCCTTCGGCTCTGGTGAGCTAATAAGTACAATATTGATTTATTACCACAGTGACCTTACACCGACCTGCAAACTATACCAGGAGTTATCTTTATATTAACAAATTGATGCCCACACTGTTAGTCAGCTTTAGCTTCAATAAAATGTCAATAAAATCTTTCTGGGGCAAACTTGAGCAGTATATCCTCATTAAGGACCATTTCACTTTTCTGATGTTTGACCTACGATTACCAATTATTTGGGACATCAACATGAAAATTTAAAGCTGGTCTGCCAACATTTTAGAGCCTGGCTCAATACATATTGGCCATGGTGGCAAAGGTTGATCATTTTATGGTTCAGGCTGGTAAACGGATTAATGTTTTTCTATCTCATTACAAGGATTCATAAAATCTAGAGTGACAAGACTGGTTCTTTTTTCAATCAGACTTACAGTGTAATTTATGTAAACACTTGGTAAACACAGTCTATTTATCATGCAAATACAGCAATTAGTTTAAGATCAAGTTTACAGTGAGTCTAGACTGAGCAACATGCAGACCAATCAATATAAGTTGATAAAACTTTTTTCTATTTATCATTATTTATATATAGCTAGAGCATTGGACTGTAAATCGGGTCACCCAGGTTCAATTCCCAAACGTCACTTTTGTTTTTAAAGGAGTCCAACTTAACAGTCCATGAACTTTACCTCTGCAAATAATAAAGCCTGCTGGAGTTGAATAAGGAAAACGCTGCCTAAACTGTCTTAACATATCCTGCATCTAGTGGTCCTAGTAACCTTGACAGTACAGTAAACTTGACCTTTACTAAGTCTGTGCCATTTAAACTTAAAGATTCATACCTAGTGGATGAACTGGACCATGGTTATTATAGGGTTGTGGTGGTGGAGTGCCATGTTGATGATGCATGTGTGGTTGGGCTCCCCGTGCCCCCGGGGCCGGAGCCCCACTGTGATGGTGTGGTGATGGGTATTGTGCATGACTGTAGTAATGACCGCCATAGGGAGGGTAATACTGTGGGGCATTGTTTGGTCCGCCCTGAAAATAAATAAATAACACCATTGTTAATACCAATTTTGTAATAGTGACAATATAATAACATTTTTGAGAAAATTACTCTCTTTCAAACTTATCTTAAACTTTATATAGTATCTCAAATAGGTAACTTTAAAGTCAAATATAGTCTTCTTGACTAGAGGACATGCATTACGCTTTCATTCTAGATGTTCTCCAGAACACTGTATATATGGTTTTTCCAAAATCTAATCCTATAATACAAACATACTATTTACACAACAAAAGGTACATTACGAGCCATTTAATAGTGATCTGTAAAATGTAAGAAGTCTTATGACACTTTCAGGTCTTTTAAGGCATACAGATATTATTATCTATAGTAAAATAAGTCATTATTCAACTTTTATTATAAAATCTATATACAGTATTAAAGCATTGACATTAAAGCTGTTTCAGATTTCAATATTTCAACATGTCTCTTACAATTAACATTACCTTTACAGCAAATATTTTTTTTTTTTTTTTCCTTTTTTTCAGTGTTGGCACACTAACGCATTTCCACAAGTCTTATAATATATATTATATTTGTATATTTTGTGCCCAAAAATAAACAGTGCAAACAAATTAAGGGCATGAAGTGCAAGCGCCCTTGGCCTGCCCCGGGTTTGGGGGCACATAGTGGAATCAGTTGTGCCAACAGGTTTAAGGTTAAATTTGGGCAAAAAGGAGAAAAATTCATGCAGTAGCTTAGAAAAAGTTTTAACTTTTTTAAGAACTGTCAGGTTATAAAAATTTAAATTCATCCAACAGTAAATTAAACTCAGGTCAGACTCCCAGGATTTTTATAGGGGACCCCTCCCTTTAACATTCACAATCTGATAGTTTTCTTTTTTTTTACTCAAAAATTTTCTTTAGCATGGGATCTAAGTTTGTTTTAACTAAAACTTTACGTGTTAATGGCATGCAGACAAAACTGTAACTTTTAACCAAAAAAATCTGACAAGTCTAAAATGCAAATAACATATCAGTTGTCAAATAACGCCCTTGTTTTACTTTGAGACAATCAGGGCTGTAAACTTCTTCACACTTAAAACTTACGTCATGACTTGAAACTAAAGACAATGCCTGTTTTGCACTTGGAAGTAACTTTGTCATTTTTAAATAAACGAAGAGGACGCACAACTGTTTTCATATATATAGTGAATTTTTAAAACAGGCTGTGCTAGTAGGAGCAGACCAAACCAGTCACCTTATTTGAATAAAACCTTATGATTGTAATCTTATTTTATCTTATGGAACAAAGTCTATGGACAGACGGAGAGACAAACAGACAAGGGAAAATTTATATGCCCCTTCCCTCATAGTGGGGGCATACTAAAGGTGAGTAATTTAAACAACAGAAATATCTCGTCATATTATGTCACAAAAAGTAACTATATTTGCAGATATTATCAGTGCTGACAAACTTTGAATATAAGAGAAACTTGTCAAAAGAAAAAACTAGTTTAATTGGGTCCTTGACCTAGTGCCACTTTACCAGGAAGAGACCTTTCTTTCAGGAGAAACCAGACAAATTTTACCTAATTGTGATAACATAATGATCTTAAACTACAGATTGTGCATTTTAACTGTCTTAAAAAATCTTCTTTTTTTTGCTAATACTCAAAAGACATTAACTTTTTTCTTTTTAACAATTTAATGTAGATAAACACATATATTGGAAGATAAAAAGAATTTCTAGATGGTTTAACAATAAACAATATAAGTTTTCTTATATTGGAATTAAGTTGTAAATTAAGGTCAGGAAAAATGAAGACCAAACTACACTGAAGTTTTAAGTTTGCAAGTCTACCTAAAATGAACATAAAATTCAGTTCTTTTTAGAGGGATACTTTTTTGCTTTTAATTTTTTATTTTGTTTTTACCAATACAACATTTGTTTTCAGATAAATAGGTTTAATATGGTGGAATTGCATGCACCTTTTCATTGGCAAATTTTAATAATACTTCAAACCAACCAATAGAAGCCAGTCATTCAAAGATGAATCCAACCAATAGAAGCCAGTCATTCAAAGATGAATCAACAAATAGATGCCAGCCATTCAAAGTTGAATCAACCAATAGATGCCAGCCATTCAAAGATGAATCAACCAATAAAAGCCAGTCATTCAAATTAAGATTGTCATTAAAAGGATATTCTTTGGATGTTGGGTACGAACCTAACCATTTCTCTTATGGTACTTTAAGTCCCAGGAAGCAGCCTCAAGAATGCTTTTAAAAAAGTTTCAAGCTTTTGTCACACAATGACTTCAAAGAAAATATGTTTTGTCCTTGACCAGCTGGCAACACTCATTTCAGTTGTTCATTATTCAGTCAGTTTATATTAACAAGAGGGCCATGATGGCCCTGAGGTCGCTCACCTGCATATAGCCCCCCCCCCCCCCCCCAACGTTGCAGGGCCAATTTAACCCAAGGGCTTTTATTTGCACAAACTCGGTAGACACCCATAAGAAGATGTTTCATGCTAAACATCTAAGCTCTAGCTCATTGGGCTTTTTAAAAGAAGATTTTTTTAAGTTTTTACTATACACACATAGTTAGAAACAATGACACCCCTGGGGCCGGGCCAGTTTTGACCCCAGGGCTTTTATTTGAACAAACTTTGTAGACACTTACTGGAAGATGTTTCATGCTTAATATCTAAACTCTATCTATTTGGTTTTTTTCAAAGAAGATTTTAAGTTTTTGCTACACATATAAAGAAAATCAATGACCCCCGGGGTGGGGCCAATTTTTACCCCAGGTCTTTTATTTGACCAAACTTTGTAGACACTCACTAAAAGATGTTTCATGCTTAATATCTTAACTCTAGCTATTTGGGTTTTTTCAAAGAAGATTTTTTAAAGTTTTTGCTATACACATATAAGGAAAATCAATAACCCCGGGGCGGTGCCAATTTTGACCCCAGGGCTTTTATTTGAACAAACTAGGTAGACACCTATTAGAACATGTTTGATGCTAAATATCTTAGCCATAGCTCTTTGAGTTTTTTAAAAGAAGATTTTTTAAGTTTTTACTATATGCATATAGGGAAAATCAATGACCCCCCGGGGCGGGGCCAATTTTGACCCCAGGGCTTTTATTTGAACAAACTTGGTAGACACCCATTAGAACATGTTTCATGCTAAATATCTTAGCTCTAGCTCTTTGGGTTCTTTAAAAGAAGATTTTTTAAGTTTTTACTATATGCATATAGGGAAAATCAATGACCCCCTGGGGCGGGGCCAATTTTGACCCCAGGGCTTTTATTTGAACAAACTTGGTAGACACCTATTAGAACAAGTTTGATGCTCAATATCTTAGCCATAGCTCTTTGAGTTCTTTAAAAGAAGATTTTTTAAGTTTTTACTATAATTATGCATATAGGGAAAATCAATGACCCCCCGGGGCGGGGCCAATTTTGACCCCAGGGCTTTTATTTGAACAAACTTGGTAGACACCCATTAGAACATGTTTCATGCTAAATATCTTAGCTCTAGCTCTTTGGGTTCTTTAAAAGAAGATTTTTTAAGTTTTTACTATATGCATATAGGGAAAATCAATGACCCCCCGGAGCGGGGCCAATTTTGACCCCAGGGCTTTTATTTGAACAAACTTGGTAGACACTCATTAGAAGATGTTTCATGCCAAATATCTAAGCTCTAGCTCTTAGGGTTTTTTAAAAGAAGATATTTAAAGTTTTTTCTTTCGGTTGCCATGGCAACCAGAGTTCTGCATGGAATTAAATTCTTTGAACAATTTTTAAAGGTGACCACCAAAGGAACATTCCTGTGAAGTTTGGATGAAACTGGCTTAGTGGTTTATGAGAAGATGTCATTTAAAGTAAAAGTTTACGGACGGACGGACGACGGACGGACGCCGGACGGACGCCGGACGAAAAGCGATCACAAAAGCTCACCCTGTCACTTTGTGACAGGTGAGCTAAAAATGATAAACAGTTTTGTAGGAATTGCAAGATGGGGATATCCATTTAAGATATTTGGCCGAATATAGGTTAAACTTCAATCTGATTAAATAATTTACCGTCATTGGACTTCCCATCATGCCAGGTGGTTGAGGCGACAGTATCACATGTGTTAAAATTCCATTCTCGTCTACAATTTGTTGTACCATGTGATCAGTCGGTGACTGCATTGGCATTGGCAGTGGAGGACCGTTATTGGAAACCATTCTAAATGTTGCCGGACCTGAAAATATACAAATGGTCAATTTATAAATCCTATAATATTAAACATTACAGAACAACCACAACTTTATTTACAGAAGGTAACACATAAAGACAGATACAGATTCATGTAACAACTTATTTACAATGTGGCCTTCTATATAAAATGATATCAATCAAGGAAAATATAACATGTAAAAGAAATGATAATGTAAAGTTTAACCTAGCATCTATATAAAACCACCTTTATTGTTTACAGGACACTTTTCATGCCCCAGATATTAGATCAAATTGCTCTGAATTCATTAATGCAAGATAAGAGTGGACATAATTATATTGATATAAAACACAAAAGGTACCTTAACCAAGAGGGCCATGATGGCCCTGAAGTCGCTCACCTGTATATAAGCCCCCGGAGCAGGGCCAGTTTAAAACCCCAGGGCTTTTATTTGAACAAACTTGGTAGACACCCATTAGAAAATATTTCATGCTTAACATCTATTAGGTCTAGCTGGTCATTTTTTTTTCTTTACACATTTAGTTAAAAAAATTGACACACCTGGGGCAGGGCCAGTTTTGACCCAAGGGCTTTTATTTGAACAATCTTTGTAGACACTTACTAGAAAATGTTTCGTGCTTAATATCTAAACTCTAGCTATTCGGATTTTTTCAAAGAAGACTTTTAAGTTTTTGCTATACACATATAAGGAAAATCAATGTCAGCCCGGGCGGGGTCAATTTTGACCCCAGGGCTTTTATTTGAACAAACTTGGTAGACATCCATTAGAACATGTTTCATGCCAAATATCTAAGCTCTAGCTCTTTGGGTTTTTTAGAAGAAGATTTTTTCAGTTTAAAATTTACTATATGCATATAGGGAAAATCAATGACCCCCTGGGGCCAATCAATGACCCCCTGAGGCGGGGCCAATTTTGACCCCAGGGCTTTTATTTGAACAATCTTGGTAGACACTCATTAGAAGATGTTTCATGCTTAATATCTTAGCTCTAGCTCTTTGGGTTCTTTAAAAGAAGATTTTTTAAAGTTTTTACTAATTTATGCATATAGGGAAAATCAATGACCCCCTGGGGCAGGGCCAATTTTGACCCCAGGGCTTTTATTTGATCAAACTTTGTAGACAACCATTAGAAGATGTTTCATGCTAAATATCTTAGCTCTAGCTTTTTGGGTTCTTTAAAAGAAATTTTTTTAAGATTTTACTATATGCATATAGGGAAAATCAATGACCCCCTGGGGCGGGCCAATTTTGACCCCAGGGCTTTTATTTGAACAAACTTGGTAGACACCCATTAGAACATGTTTCATGCTAAATATCTTAGCTCTAGCTTTTTGGGTTCTTTAAAAGAAAATTTTTTAAGTTTTTACTATATGCATATAGGGAAAATCAATGACCCCCAGGGGCGGGGCCAATTTTGACCCCAGGGCTTTTATTTGAACAAACTTGGTAGACATCCATTAGAACATGTTTCATGCCAAATATCTAAGCTCTAGCTCTTTGGGTTTTTTAGAAGAAGATTTTTTAAGTTTTTACTATATGCATATAGGGAAAATCAATGACCCCCTGGGGCGGGGCCAATTTTGACCCCAGGGCTTTTATTTGAACAATCTTGGTAGACACTCATTAGAAGATGTTTCATGCTTAATATCTTAGCTCTAGCTCTTTGGGTTCTTTAAAAGAAGATTTTTTTAAGTTTTTACAATATGCATATAGGGAAAATCAATGACCCCCTGGGGCGGGGCCAATTTTAACCCCAGGGATTTTATTTGAACAATCTTGGTAGACACTCATTAGAAGATGTTTCATGCCAAATATCTAAGCTCTAGCTCTTTGGGTTTTTTAGAAGAGATGTTTAAAGTTTTTTCTTTTGGTTGCCATGGCAACCAGAGTTCTGCATGGAATGGAATTCTTTGAACAACTTTGTTCAGGCTTCACACAAAGAACATCCCTGTGAAGTTTCATTATGATCTGCCTTATGGTTTCAGAGGAGATGTCGTTTGAAAAGTGTGAACGGACAACGTACAACGGACGACAGACGACGGACAAAGAATGATCCTAATACAGTGAAATTTGAGAAACCCGGACGCTGAGAAAATCGGACCTCTCTAAATACCGGACGAATAATTCAGTCCCAAATTTTCCCTTCTTTAAACTATTGTATTAAACATTGACAATACCGGAATCTGTAAAAACCGAATATCGGACGGTTGAAAGGGGACTACAAAGTCCATTATATAGACAATAACCCTGACAATACCGGACGATGAAGGTGTGAATAACCTTGTGTACTTATCAATTGGTTGTGTCTTATACGCTAACTGAGCGGTAACGGAACAATGATTATCTGATTAGTTAATTATGTCTCTTTTTACAGTTTGATTCATTGTAAGGTATAGATGTTACCGTTTTATATAAATGCCAAAATGCACGAGAAATTGATAAGTTAAAATCAGTATGAATGAAAAATAGAATATTATTATACTGCATTGCTTTTTGTATATTCATTTCCCAAAATGACAACGCAACGGAAACGACATTTATCAGCGCTAAGTTCTATTCCATGGCCTAAAAGAAATCGACGAGAGCTGTCTATAAGCAGGTACGTATATTAACGTATAATATACGTACCTGCTATAAGTGACAAATTTAAATTAGTTAAAGACAGTGAAACTTTGCCGAGACCTTTATCTGACAAATATGGTATAGGCAATATTTACAATTGGGGCATTATTATAAACAAACAAAGTAAACTATGTTCGTTAAATCATTATCCATTACCCAAATGTAAACATATGCGGGTGAAATCGGACTTTATCGTTATGAGGTAACTGCTGTTCGTTTAAATCCAAAATTTTATTGTATTTATATGCAATAATGGGACAAAAACAATTAAAAAATATTGTTTAGTATTTTTATCATTTCTTTATTAAGCAATATACTTACTCATGATCATGAAAATGCAAATATACGTTCAGCATCCTTTGTAAGTTATTGCTCGATTTATAGGATCCTGAATAGCTGAAGGGGACATTGAGAATACAGGACCACTGAGAAAACCGGACAAAACCCTCGGTCCGAAAGCCGTCCGGTTTTCTCAACTTTCACTGTAGCTCACCCTGAGGCCATCCTTAAAAAAATGTTTGTTTGCAGTAACCCGACCCAGAATTTTCAAGGTGGGTAGGTAGGTCGATTTTTTTTTTTTTTTTTTTTTTTTTATTGAACTGTACTTCCAAATAAACATAGAATTTCAAAATGCTGGACAATATATGCTTTGCTTATCTGGTAACAATTAATAAATTGATAACTGAATTCTAATTTAATAAGACCTACATTTTATTTCTTCTATTAACCTTTAAAAGAACGAAAACAAAGCACAAGGCATAATTTTTGGATTCAAAAAAAAAAATTTTTTTATCCTGACCATGAAAAAAAAAATTTGAGTAGGGGCAAATTTTGTGAGTCGGTCGCGTTACTGCAAACGAACATTTTTTTAAGGATGACCTGAGCATATGCTCAGGTGAGCTAAAAACAATTAAAACCATAAAATATGGAATACTCAAAAAATTCAATCTGCTCTTAGGACCACCACAAGAAAGCAGAGGCATAAAAACTATTTTGGAAATGAGATACAATCCCTTATATTACTATTACTACAAGAGTATTTAACAAATCATACAAATATTCACTTACTCAGCTCATCAAATAGAATTGTTTACCTCTCAATAAAATCATTATTCCTCGAGTGTATATACCCGATATATAAATCAAAACAATTTCAATAAAATTTTATGAAGTCCTTATTTAAAAGCTAATAACAACAACAAAAACTATCAATAATTCCATTAAAAAATCTTAAATTTTTTGAAATACAGAAAAAAATACCCTTATTACTACTGAAATTACATGCAGTCATGATAGAAGTATTTTTGTTCTCTAAAAGCATGTTTCTCATACATAGGAAAATAATACACATTATTACTTTACATCCTTGTGCATGCATATTGTCAATATATTAAACAACCAATATTTATGTATGTTGAAGTTAACCAGTATATATTACTGTTAATAAAGTTTTGTATGATTATATTTAACAACTTAATATTTAACAAACACTACATACAAAACAAGAACTGTAGGAGGACAGTAACGCTCAACTATTCGAAAAGTTGTCACAAGGGTGTTTCATTGAGTATAATAATGCTTACCTATATGAATACATAAAATTGTCCGAAAAGGTACAAACCCTTCAGTAGTTATGGAGATGCCAGCTTACAAGCAAATATTTACCTAGAATTTCTAAGTCGAAAAAGGGGCATAATTATGCAAACAAGTAAATCAGAGTTATGGGACTTGTGCCAATCATCTATTTTTAGATAATCACAGAGAACAAGTGTGTGAAGTTCAATCTATTCCCCTCAGTAGTTATGAGGATACCAGCTTACACGCAAAAACTTAACCAAGAATTTCTAAGTCTAAAAAGGGGAATAATTATGTAAAAAAGCAAATCAGCGTTATGGGATTTGTGCCAATCATCCAAGATAATCACAGAGAACAAGTGTGTGAAGTTTCAATCTATTCCCTTCAGTTAGTCATGAGGATACCAGCTTACACGCAAAAACTTAACAAAGAATTTCTAAGTCGAAAAAGGGGCATAATTATGTTAAAAAGCAAATCAGAGTTATGGGACTTGTGCCAATCATCTTAGATAATCACAGAGAACAAGTGTGTGAAGTTTCAATCCATTCCCTTCAGTATTTATGGAGATACCAGCTTACACGCAAAAACTTAACCAAGAATTTCTAAGTCGAAAAAGGGGCATTATTATGTAAAAAAGCAAATCAGAGTTATATGACTTGTGCCAATCATCTTAGATTATCACAGAGAACAAGTGTGTGAAGTTTCAATCCATTCCCTTCAGTAGTTATGGAGATACCAGCTTACATGCAAAAACTTAACCACAGGGACGCCCGGACACCGACAAATGGGTGACTGCATTAGCTTGA